TAAAATCTTTCCTAGGTTTTCACTCTGCTCCTAGTGCAAAATAAATACCTGAGATCAAGAAACTGCTTCTGACAGAACTGTCAAAATTGTAGCCTGCCGGTAGGTTAAGATTGACCATTTCTGCCGATTTTACTGTTTCTTAAATCATATTCTGGCATTATGGACCTGACTGACAGGCTATAGAAACATGGTACATGAGTCCCACAGCAAATAATTAAGGAACAACAAATTCTGTAAAGTTGGCAACAGTGCCATCTGGTGGGGAAATCTAATACTGTAATTTTTAAATTACAGCTCTCTTTTATACTGAAAATCTATCATATGTAGGGGAAAAGCCATCATAAATGATTGGCAGAAAGACCTTATTAACCCCTGTGTGAAACTAAGCCTACTCTTAACACAAGACATTGATGGACTAAATATTTAAAAATGTATCCAGCTTGCATAAAATCCTTACTAAACCTTACATAAGAAGCAATTTTTGACAACTTTTAGTGTCAGTTATACACAAGCCAAATTTATTTTCATGGTTTTTATAATGCATAGTATAAAAAATACAGTCAGTTGCAGTTTAAAAAAAACCCAGGCTGTTAAGATGATTGACAGACTGCTTTGATGATCTGGGTTCCTAAAGGTGAGATGATTAAAGGTACTAGCGCAACTTGACAGAGTCCAACGTCACAGAACAAAATTCACTGTATTTGTTTCTCACCTCTTGTTTACCAGTACTGACAAACGAATACAATTATTTCTGTGCCCAATTTTTATCAAGAATAGATTTTTCTCTTTCTTTTAAGATGATCCCTATCTACATACTAAATTGAACTACAGAACTCAGGCAATTAGTTACTTGGGCAACTTGGGATAAAAATAACTTTAAAGTTTTAATATAATCATCATAAAAATACTATATGGAGAGCGGCTTCAATTGTATCTACACCCAAGTTGCTGTCAGACAAATCCATTCAATTCAAAAGAAATTTGTTGTCCCCTATTATGTGCCTGGAGCTCTGGTGGCATAGTGGTTAAGACGACGGCTGCTAACCAAAAGGTCGGCAGTTAGAATCCACCAGCTGCTCCTTGGAAACCCTATGGGGCAGTTCTACTCTGTCCTATAGGGTTGCTGTGAGTTGGAATCGACTTGATGGCAAGGGGTTTTTGGTGGTTTTATTATGTGCCTGATCTAGGTACTAGGAGGGATTATGCAGACACCTAAGAGATAGGGAAGCTTCTTTAAAGTTAACTAGAGAGCTTTGTATTTATCCATACAACTAAACAAGTGGATGACTAGTAGGTTAAAAAGGAGCTCTGATAGTGCTATAGTTAAGCGCTTGGCTGCTAACTGAAAGGCTGACTGCTTGAATCTATCCAGCCACTCAGTGGGAGAAAGACCTGGTGATCTGCTCCCATAAAGATTACAGCCTAGAAAACCCTACGGGGTAGTTCTACTCTGTCATATGGGCAGTTCTACTCTGTCACATGGGGTCACTATGAGTCAGAATTGATTCAAGGGCACCTAACAACAACAACACAACAGTAATGTTAAGGGTTGGGAATATATGGGTGAAGGACATGGTGTAAGGTTCCAAGGATGGAGAAGAAATAACCTCAAGGAAGTTAGAAGCAGCCAAGAGGATGAGCACAAAGGAAAAGAAAAAACAGACCTGTATAAAGATGAAAGAAACTAGAACAGATGCTAATGAAAACAAGGAAGAAAAGTGGAAATTCATGTACAACCTTCTCAGAAGCAAAAGCAGAAGTTACAGTTATTTTACCCTACTCTTTAGCTAACACTGAGTTCTAAGTGAGGTTATATTCAGGAAGTTACCATCTCTCCTTGCATCCGCTATCACCTTTGCTGCGGACTTGCTCATCACATGCACGATGTAGAGGGGGCAGCTGACGGCGCTGGCTATGGTGATGGCTCTCAGTGTGGCCTCTGCCTCCACTGCTTCTGGGCGGCACAGCTCATGGCCCTCAGGGCCGGTTATCCCCAATGCCAACATCTTCTTTGCCCCCTACAAAGACATGTGCAAGGAGCGTTTACTAGAGACAAATACCATTATTTTTTTTCATATTAAATACACTGTCCAGGTTTTTAGATCTGTTAGTATAGGTATGTGAGTATGCATGTGAATGTATGCCTGTGTGTGTATGCAAATACAGTATGGGTATTCAATAAAAATAATTTTAATACTCTAATGATATATGTTGAGGAGCTCAGATGGCGCCCCCAATGGTTAAGGGCTCGGTTGCTAACCAAAAGGTTGGCGGTTCGAACCCACTCAGTGGTGGCTGTGTGGGAGAAAAACTTGCCGATCTGCTCCCGTAAAGATTACAGCCTTGAAAACCTAAGGGTACAGTTCTACTCTGTCGCTTGGGGTTGCCATGAGTCGAAATCGACCCCACAGCACCTAAAAACAACAACAAATGGTGTATGTTAATTTCCATATGCATATTTCACAATTAAATTATTCTGACTGCAGAGCTGAAAAAGACGTGAGTTAGCTCTAACCACATTCTTTAAAAAGCAGTGTGCATAGTAAGACTTATTATTGGCCCAGGGACAAGGACTAGAAGGCAGGAGGGGACAGGAAACCTGGTAATGGGAAAGCTAAGGTCGAGAAGGGAGAGTGTTGACATGTCATGGGGTTGTTAACTAATGTCATAAAACAATATGTGTACTAACTGTTTAATGAGAAACTAGTTTGTTCTGTAAACCTTCATCTAAAGAACAATAAAAAAAAAAAAAAGACTTACTATTGGGTCAGAACAAACAAAACGAAACAAAATAATCTAGTTCTCGATATTAGATCTTGGTTGAAGTGACTCATTCTACTATGTTAGGTAGGTAGTTTTACTTTTTACTAAATAATAGTCTTCACCCTCCCCCAACCCACTGAGTGGTATCAGACCAGTTACTTCACCTCTCCAAAATGTTACTTCTTCCTCACAAAAAAAGAAAAAAAAAAGGCAGCCAAGCCCAGAGCGGTAAACTGACCGCTCGAATCCACCCACTCTGCCACACAGCTAGAAAGTGACGAGTCAAATGTTAACTGGGATCTGTGTGATTTTACAGCTCCTACTCTCGTCTCATTATTCCATGCTGCCCCCGGCCACTGAGCCTCAATCTCACCGACTTTAATGGGAACTGAGCCCAGGGAGAGGAAAAAAAAAATCAGCTAACATAAAGGTAAGAGACAGCTCTTTAAATCGTGCGGATGGTGTCCCCTCCAGGCATTAATAATGGAACTAACATGTGAAATAAACATCATCTAGATTCCTCCAGAGTGTGTTTTAATACTCAGCTTCTGAATAGAGTAGGGCTTTACACAGCTACCGAATATGTACACTGCTTAAATCATCAGATTATACTGATGTTGTCCACACTTGGTATTCTGAACCAGCAACCTGAGCTACTAAAAAACAGCGGCTATGGGACAGAAAGAAAAGTATTTGTGTTTCTATAATAAAACATGTTTGAGCTCTAATAGCTGGTTTGAAATGAGGAAATCCTCATTCCAATTCATATACCACCTGAATAAAAGAAGAGCAGTAACCCAAGAGAACCAGATTATTTCTGAGCCACAGAACATCAGTTTCTGGATTTCTGTTTTATCAATGCATTAAATGAGTTTATCTACTTAAGGATCTGGGTGGCACAAATGCTTTGCTCTCTACTACTAACCTAAAGGTTGGCAGTCCGAATCCACCCAGTGGCACCGCCAGAAGAAAGGCCTGGTGATCTACTTCTGTAAAGATCATAGCCAAGAAAATCCTATGGAGCAGTTCTACTCTGTAACACATGGGGTTGCCATGAGTTGGAAATGACTCCATGGCAATGGGTTTGTGTTTCTTTTTTTACTTAAGGACAATCATCTTCACCTGAAGTTATAGCCACTTTCTTTTCTATAGAAGGTTTGGAAAGCAAATGCTTACCTCTGCAATTAAGTCTCCATTTTCTGCATGGACCTGAGCAATTGCTCCAATTTCCTTGCACCGAGAGAAGGCCACATAGAGCTCGATGTCTCTCACCATATACAGATCCTTATAGGCCATAAACATCTTGAAAGAGTTAACACCTTTATCTTCGGTAAGAATTTTCATTTCTTCTTTAACCTAAAAAAGGAAAATAACAACAAAATGTCCCTCTTTAATTTAAATAATTTCAACATTCTCCAAAATGTTGCATTAGGAAGTTGCTGCTGTTGCTGTTTTTAGGTGCCAGTGAGTTGATTTTCAACTCATAGTGACCCCATGTGACAGAGTACAACTGCCTATAGAGTTTTCTAGGCTGTATCTTTATGGGGGCAGATCACCAGGTCTTTCTCAAAACTAAGTAAAATAAGGACAACAGTTTAATTCTAGAAAAATGCAATTAGGGCCTTGCGCTTTCTTTCCCCCAAGTTATACCTCATTTCATCTGATATATTGCTGCTGCTATGATACTTTTAAATCATGAAAGAGTTCATACCTTTCCCCAAAGTATTTCATTCCTATACTTGGATGTAAAATTCTTGGCATCTATCTCCAGGTTAGAGGATATTATTCTAGAAAAATGAAGACAAAGTCATTTGGCAGTAACAGATACAATCACGGCTCTGGAAGGAATAAAAACTAATGTGAGGTAAGGGTTTGGGCTCAAATCTGAATGCACAGATTGAATTCTTAGAGCAAAAAGTGTCAGATCTAGATGAAGCCAGGCTTGCCTGAGAAAGCACAAGCTCAGCGTTTAGCTGAGGAACCATGACAGGCCCATGGCCCATCAGCAGCTTCTAGGAGCCAACAGCTATCCACTCACAAGGCTGTGGACCAGGTCTGAAGCCTCATGGGCCTTGAGGTTACTAATGGGTTAGAAGCCAGGTGGAGATCAAGGCCAGATCAGTAACTGCCTTTACAGGTTCAATTCAGGTCTCAATAAGGACTAAAATTTCAGTGTGAATTATTCTAACAATAATTTAATTTATATCCTGAGGATTTGAGATTATTCTGTAGATTAACCTACTCTTTCATCTATTACAGAAGTTAAAGCATTGAAGAATATAGCTATTTATATAAAAACAATCATCAATCTATATTATTATTATTTAATTTTAACAGATTTATTAAAGTATAATTGACATGAAAAAACTGCACATATTTAAAGTGAACAGTTTGATAAGTTTTGACAAATCTACACACCCATGAAACCATCACCACAATCAAAATAACATATATATCCATAACCTATCCATGTTATTTAATATTCTGGATAGAGAAAACAATCAGGATGCCATAACATTATTTTCTCCACATAGATGCAGACGTGAAAAGAATAACAATAGAACTATTTTATATCTCTTGGAATTTTGCCATTGTTAGTAATGATATAATAACCTCCTCTATCTACTGTGACTTCTGAATATATTACTGAATTCTGAGGTTCAAGAAAAGTTTCATGATGTGTTTATTTAAATCACCTACAGAGGAGGCAGACAATCAATTCTAAAATCCAAGAGCCTATGTCTCTAATTGCCCACAGACTGAAATATGTAAGCACTCAGTAAATATTTGTCTGGTCTAAGGAACACTTAAGTGCTCAGCTAATAGCCAAAAGGTTGGCAGTTTGAACCCATCCAGAGTTGCCTCGGAAGTCAGCCTATTGATCTGCTTCCAAAAGGTCACAGCCTTGAAAACCCGATGCAGCAGTTCTACTCTGCACACATGGGGTCGCCATGAGTTGGAATCAATTCAATGGCAACAAACAACAACAAGAAATACTTAGAGAACTCGATCAGGTTGGGATTTTTTCTTATCTTCAGAATTCTTTCAAAAGGTACTAAAATTAAGCCCACAGAGCAATGATTTTCCATAAGGGTCAACTGATTTTCGACAAGGGTGCTGAGTCCATTCGATGGGGGAAAGAAGAATCTCTTCAGTAAATGGTCCTGGGAAAACTGCATTGCCACATGCAGAAAAATGAAACAGGATCCACGCTTCACACCACACACAAAAACAAAATCAAAACAGATTAAGGACCTAAATTTGCAAACTAAAACCATAATATTCTTAGAAGAACAAGCATGGGCAATGCTGTCAGCCCTAGCTTTCAACAGTGGATTATCTAATATAATAACAAAGGCACAAACAGCAAAAGACAAAATAAATTAAAAACTTTTGTTCATCAAAAGACTTCACCAAAAAGGTGGAAAGACAAGCTATTGACTGGTAGAATATCTTCGGAAGTCATATATCTGACAAGAATCTAATAACCAAAATATATAAAAAACTTCAGCAACTTAACAACAAGACAAATATCTCAATCATAAAATGGGCAAAGGACTTGAACACACATTTCACCAAAGAGGACATTCAAATGGCCACCAAACACATGAAAAGATGCTCAGCATCATTAGCCATCAGAGAGATGTAAATCTTTAAACGTTGAACCTTAAACCAAAAATATTCCCTGAAGTCTTCTTAAAACCAAACAATAGTCTAGTTTAACTAGTAAAGAATGTCTGCCTTGAGCATTGTGCTCTTTTAAGATCTAGCTATATGGGATCAAAGTAACAGCAGCAACTAGGAAGATTAGATAGGAAACTTAGGGGCCATTAACATATGGGGGAAGAACAACTCAGAAAAGGAGGGTGAGAATGATTGCACAACTCAAAGAATATAATCAATGTCATTGAATTTTATGCGTAGAAATTGTTGAATTTGTGTATGTTCTGCTGTGTATA